AAATTTCTACTTTCTGACATTGTATTTTGTAGCATATTCCCCCATCTCAAACCTCCTCAAAACCAAAAAAAGGAAAGAAACAAATCAAGTTATGAAAAGTATCTCTGGAGATCTGTCCAATTTCACGTTACACAACTATTGTCATGTTAGTTTGTTATTGTCTTACTAGTGTTGTTTTACTTATCATTCCTTCTCAATATGATTCTAAATTAATAATTAGATTTGACTATTAACCTGTTTATTTTAATTTTTCTATCTGGTGGTGAATTGATTTGTCTTATAACTGCATTTTTGTAATCTTTCTGATCAAGTTTGTGAATAGCTCTTAGAGAGGAGAGTTGGCTTGTGAATGTATGATGTGTTGGTGTTGCAATTCATTTAGGATAACAAACTCAAGATGAAACATGCTCCCTCTCACTGCCTTAGTATCCCCCTTAAACTTTTCAGGGGGCATGAACACGATATGAGTTGAAGCCTTTAACTATATCATTGTTTAGGCTGCTTGTGTTGAAATTGATAAGTTGTTTCTGGATTTGGAATCAGAAGTGATCATTGTTGTAATTCAACTTTAATTCATCTTTTATTCAACAGATTACTATCTTTAGTTGAATTACAACAATGATCACTTTTGATTCCAAATCCAGAAATAATTTATCAACTTCAACACAAACAGCCTAACAATGATATAGTTAAAGGCTTCAACTCATATCGTGTTCATGCCCCTTGAAAAGTTTAAGGGGGATACTAAGGCAGTGAGAGGGAGCATGTTTGATCTTGAGTTTGTTATCCTAAATGAATTGCAACACCAACACATCATACATTCACAAGCCAACTCTTCTCTCTAAGAGCTATTCACAAAGTTGATCAAAAAGATTGCAGAAATGCGGTTATAAGACAAATCAATTCGCCACCAGAAAGAAAAACTAAAATAAACAGGTTAATGGTCAAATCTAATTATTAATTTAGAATCGTATTGAGAAGGAATGATAAGTAAAACAACACTAGTAAGACAATGACAAACTAACATGACAATAGTTTTGTAACGTGAAATTGGACAGATCTCCAGGGATACTTTTCATAACTTGATTTGTTTCTTTCTTTTTTTTTGGTTTTGAGGAGGTTTGAGATGGGGGATATGCTACAAAATACAATGTCAGAAAGTAGAAATTTT